CATGTATACATTTGAAATAGTGGTCTTCACAAAGAAAATTCTCATGGAAAACAAAGTAATTTTTACTTTAAATTCTGATGTATAGAACTATAACACCCATCAAAAGGATAACCTACATGTTCCCCACTCAGATGGTCCCTTGTTGGCTCCTGAACAGTAACGTAACTTCGCTCTCTCCACCCAAGACATCATATGGACTCGTCATACACGATTGTAATTGTATGCGACTCAATAAATATTAATATTATTATCAAAAAAAGTCCCTGAACAGCTTTTTCCATAAGAGTCTGTACTAATTCAAATTTATTTTATTAAAAAACTAGGCCGATAATGGCCCAATTTTTCTTACCACCTTAAATAGCTGTACTAAATCCACCTTAATACCTTAAGAAGTAAACATTTCACATGATCAACAAACATAAATATATAATCGAAAGTAATGAATCGAAAGTTACCACAACAAATCTTTTAATCCCACTCTATCGTGCTTTACATTCTTCAGTTAAAATGTCACAAAATCTCTACATGCAGAAATATAAATAGTATAAATAAAAATGTTCACGAACAACCGGTCAACATAAAAAATAATTATAAAATCTTACCGTAATACAAGACACCTAAAAATTAAAACTTCGAAATTATCACCGACAATTGCACTACACGTTTCACCCTGATAAAATGAAGAAGAAATTATATTTTGTGTAAATTGGCATAAACAACCATCGTTTACACTCGTTCACATGCCATTGAACATGGAGGAAGTGCTATTCAATGCATAAAATCCCGGGCCTTCCTGCCTCAGTGCTGCTCTCGAACGGGTGGCGACAACTCCACCTGACTAGGCGGGCGTACTGAATTTATGAAGTGAAAAATACTCTCGACTAGGTAAGTGTTTCAGTATACTCTCTGGGGGTATTTTTGAACATACCGTTCTTTGTATTACTTGATTTATAATTCATTTTTTGTAATGTACGAAATTTTGAATATCCTGACATACAAGTGACCGAGGATGAAAACGTAATACAATAAAATAATGTAACAATTTTATTTCATTTAAATCAAGACATTTCATTATTTACAAACAAAACAAAACAACTGTATAATAAATAAACAAAAAATGAATAGTCAATCAACAAAATTCGATTTCATCATAAATAGAATTTAAGACACTTATTTTAATGGAAACATTCGTTAATAAAGTTATAATAGTTACTTTATAATAGTTACAATCATCATTTTGTTTCTTTAATTGAAACAAAGAAATTGCAATAAAATACTTTTATGAATCACATAAAGCACACAAATCACATAAATATTTTCATTGAGATAATATTAAGTCTAAACAGTTCATTACAAGATTTTGTTTCTTAGTGTACTGTTTTGGAGTAAGGTTGAATGTGGTTAAGATATCAGTAATATTTTGATTACTAATTTAAAAACACTAATATAAATTCTCATTTCAATATTTTAACCAGTGGCAGAAATGGTGATGGGCTCATGTCAGTGTTCCTTTCCAAAGCCAATATAGTCCATTATTTATTAATTTTCTATAGTAATAAATGTAATTTAATATCTCAATGGTTATAAATAATGACCATTCAAGAATAAAAATACATTTTAAATTCACCATCATTGAAGTTTTCTTTATAAGAACACATGTCTTTCATAAAAATTATTTGATGGAAATGATCATTGCAAAACTAATGAAAATGCCGTAGAAAATGCATATCAAAACGGTATCAAATCATGATTAATTGCCACATAATCTGCTCTAGAAAAAAATATGTTTACTTTCAATCATCAAGGGTTTGTATATTTTCACCTCTGAGAGTAAGATTTCTAGGTCTGGTTTACTAATGGCAAATCAACTTTCCGTATTATAGTCATATCATTAAAAAAATAGATCCAAGCTCTGCATTCAAAATATCATTAAACAGAAAAAGATTCACATAATTAATAATGTTTAAAAATAGAGTATCTCATTGAATTTCAATATTAGAAGCATCAAAAAATAAGCTAGAAATTCCTGTCATAGTATTTTGCAAATATGTTTTTGGTAAATTATAATGGCGTTTCTAATAATCGAGATAAGGAATAATTTTCAAAAATGTTTTCCAAACATTCGGTATATTGATTATAAATTTCCAGTGTGGATTTAGGTGGAAAGAAAATAGTATTAACTATCAAATTACAATTATTTATCTTAATTAACACAAACAGTTGTTCAGACAACATATCCGCTACCAAAATAAGCGCACTAATAAACCTGTTGTCAGGGACAATGCCTAGATTAATAAAGAGAGGCTTATAAGAATCACATGGATGGGATTTGCTTATTATTCGTACAATTCTTTTTTGTAATCTAAAAGTCTATAAGATGTACTTCCCCAGAATATTACGCCATATCTCAGGCGGGAATGAACTTTCGCGAAATATACACAACGAACAGTATGAAGGCTGATTGAATTTGAAAAAACTCTGGAAGAGTAGCATAAAGAACTTAATTTAGTGTTCGATTCTTTTAAATGGGCTTTCCATTAAAGGTTTGACTGAAATGAAAGACCTAAACATTCTGTTACCTTAACTTCAGACGTATTATATTCATATCATTCAAATGTCATGTCACACCGTACATTTCCAGTGGAGCACAGAGCTGTTTATTTGAAATGGAAAATTGCATTGAAACCGTTTTATTTTCATTTACTATTAATTTGTAATTACGGAACCACTTTGAAATATCTGATATTCCAAAGTATATCAGATATTATTTACAAAACCTATTGAAAGCTAGTACTAACGAAATTTGGCAATGTGATATGTAGGTTGTTCATTTAAGCAGCTCCTATTTAATACAACCAGTTGACTAATCTTTTCTGTAAATAGATCAAAGATATTACCTGAAAATTTGTCTTGAAAATATAGAATACATAAGAACACAAATTCAAAACTGTTCGACACACCGTCCTCGTACGGTTTAAATCAACGGAATCCTCTCTCGTCACAGAAATATAAAATATTTTAACTAATTAAATGAGCACAGTGATATAATATCGAAAATAAACTGAATTGTTTATAGGTTTTAACTCTTATCACTCACTCTTAAATCCTGAAGTTTGATAAGGTAAATGTGACCAATATTTATACAATTAAAAGGACAAAAAATTTGAGAAAATTATAAGTAAATGTAGCATTTTATTAATTTAAACAAAAATATACTACATCCCTTTTAATTATTTAAATAAAATAGTATTTTTCCGGGTTATTTCCTGCATCTCAATTATTTTTCACCTTTTTTTCGTTGGCCGCGAAAGTACTTTTTTAGAGAGAGATAGGGTAGACCTGTGAGATCGAAATCGCTTAGGACATACATGCAATACTTTTCACGATCTCTTGTTGTACAGACTAACAGGCATGATACAAGAGAAGAGAACACAAAGCTTTTTGTGACTGACCAAAACAAAATTCTAAAAAGTTTGTACAATCTTAACGTTTGGGGGGTTAAACATGGAAAAAGTAAATTATGGAATAAATGAGGTGTTTGTCTTTGCCGACTTATTGGCAATTGAAGAAGTTTTGTGGCAGTTTTCCCAAATTTAAATGTTTTTTTTGATGGATCAACTCAACCGTCTCTTTGTTTTTTTTCCATTTTCCAAGTCACGAGGTTAGAAAGGCAAGAATCTCCTTTTCGTCTTGTCCACACGAGATGCCGGCAAGATTTTTTTTTGTTAGTTGGTTTTTGGGTAAAGCGATTTCCCCTGGATGCAGAAAGCAACGTTGACCTTTCTTTGATTTTTTCGCAATGATGATTGGGAGGATCTAAAAATATTATTTGCAAAGAAATGTTTGCAAACACTCCAATTCATTGGGCCATTTTTGGGGTACTTTGAATTCCAGTGCAGTATAACTTCTTATAAATCGAAAGTTTTTAAGTACCTGAGATAGCTACAATCTAAAAGCGCACTTCTTTTCAAATACCACACTTTGCGGTCTCACAAAATTACTTTTGGCGTTGAAACCTGAAAAGTGTTCACGACTAGTGTAACGATTTTTTTGACGCCCTTATCTTCCGCAAGGCGGCAATTTTGACAATAATCTCTCTTTGAATAGTGAGGAAAAGTTCAATTTGCACCAAATAAAATATATTTCCAAAACTTTAATAAACCACATATTTAAAAATATTATGTTCATCTGTTCCGTAAAGCATACGAGGTTGAACTAAAGAATTCGCCGAAGAACCCAGTGTAAAGTAATTCCGGCATATTGACGTGGTTGTTGCAATTTGCCGCCTACGCGAGCAGTCATCCAATATAGAAATGTTTCATGTTCCTGAGAAGACATGAAACTAATTTAAGTGGACATTTTGTTTGCTTCTTGTTTCGTAACACAAGTGTACAGCCTATTCTTTTAATTTGGTTTTGTGACTTTTTGGTGTACGATATGGCTTCTGTTTCGTAGTAAAGGCAAAACAATAACACAGTTTAAGCTAGGGAAAATCATACGTCTCGTTATTAAGAAAATGTGACGAAGGAAATTCGGGCGTTCTTTCTTCAACACACGGCTGCCATAACAGCATTTTTCGGTAGTAAACTATTCTGAAGTATCTGTTTGACTATGACATCAAATTAAAAAGGAAAGATTTGAAGCCGGCGGGCAGCCTTGAGTACCCCCGGTACGAAAAGGCAATTGTTGAAGATAAAAAAAATCCACCATTGATGGCATCCACTTTTTGCTTATTTTGTTTTTCCTATTTTCGTATGACTGGTTTAATTTTTGTCTATGGATACTTGGGTATATATTTGGAACACCTAGTAGTGCAGATTAGGCGAAGGGGGCGGGGGTTATATATATATATATATATATAATATATATATATATTATATATTTATATATATATATATATATATAATGCTTTTGCTTTTACGCAGGCAAACCAAAGGACAACAAATTTTAAACGGTTACCTGGAACCTTAATAAAGTGGATCTGCCTTTAGAAAAGCAGTCGTCCCCAATTTTTTAGGTTCCTGTTTTGCCCCGAAAGTTGTTCTCCTACCTGCCTTCTTTTCTATATTTTTAAAACTAATCTTTAATCAAAGACGTCGGGCCGGAAACTTACAGTGTCCGTGGACGGTACAGTACGGAAAGACACGATGAGATTGTCAGATCGGCGGATTCCCGCTGTTTTCGCAGATTCAACTCGGATATATACTCTCGTAGGCGCGAAAAAAGTA